TCGAAAGAGAGAAACGACAGAGTAACGAGATAGTTCGTATGTGTGTGTTGTGTACATGAATGGACATGTGCCCCTTTTATAGTTGGGGCAGCTAAGGACTCCTGGTGGGAGAAGAAGTCTTCCTCGTGTGTACCACTTAGTTAGGTCAAAAGAGTCTTTGATGTTGTGAACCTCTTCATGACTTGAGCACAAGACTACCTCCGAGCTCTGGTCCCCTCGTCAGGGCCCTCTAGCCGAGATGCCCACATGCCTAAGCGACCACCTCGACCTATCTCATCACTCTTAGTATTCCAGAAGTATCCTGAACCACTTCTAGCTGGTTGGACTAAAACCCAGATCACAATTGGTCTTTCATAAACCACTACTAACGACCACACCAACGAGTATAAAAGTGATGGATATAAAGGTCAAAGTAACAAAAATGAATAATGTAACAGAGATTCACCAAATACAATCGACGCCATCCTTCTAGCTTCAATTTGTTGACGTGTAATCAACAACTAAGTAAATAAATGTAATGAGTAATTAAGGGGCGAGGAAATTAGTGCTTGCTTTTATAAGCTCGCACGATTTCATGAGGGTCGTGGCAAGCCGATTTGTCTTTGAGTCAAATGGTGAGAGACGCTCACAAGGTCCAAGTCAATAATCAACGGGTTAATTTAGATGAGTAGAAAGCATACATAAATACATGTAGCACTACAATTAACAATCATATTGACAGCATAAAATATATTCAGATAGCTCCAAACCTCAACTAGACACCTTTTAATTTCTCTCTTTTTATCTAAATGTGGGCACCTTATTTTTCATCAAGGTCGTCGTCCCCATCATCCTCAACTCCATCGTCCTCCTCCGCCGTCACGGACCGTGATATTCCGGCTAGGTCTCCTCCGGCCGCAGCCAGGACGATGGAAGAGGTCTGGAGAGACATCAGCCTCGTCTCCGACAACCTACCACGCTGCCCCTCCGCGGCCTCCCGTGGCGTGGTGATCCTGCAGGACTTCTTGTCCAGAGATCCGCCCGCCTCGGCCGCCGCCTCCCCTCCCCCTCCGCCTCAGCTCCCGACGGTGCTCACCCTAAGCTCCACCGCGCACCACTTCAGCTCTCTGCTTATCAATAACAACAGTAATGATAATCCGTATCATCATGAGCACAATAATGTCCTGAAAATGCCGCCTTCAGACGGTGCGGCCATGAGGAAGAGGTTCCCGGAATTCGATCCCAACTCCGGCGAGCGCCGCCATAAGCGCATGATCAAGAACCGCGAGTCCGCCGCTCGTTCCAGGGCTAGAAAGCAGGAAAGACCTTTTCTTCTTCTTCTTCTTCTTCTTAATTAATCACCCTTTTTCACATGCTTTTCCGCCTTTTCTTCTCATTCTGATATTAATATTGGACTTGGGGTTCATTTAATATATAATACTCTGTGACCTTTCTAATGTGATAAATGGCTTGTGCCCAATCTTTTTTACTCATAATAAGCCTTTCTAATAAAAAATTTAACCCATATTTTCAGTTAGAAAGCATAATTGTTTTTCTGTAAAATGTCATAAAATTTTGAGTGGCATATTTTCCCCATTTTTCTTACAAGTTTCCCCACGCATCCTTTGCACATTTATGATATTAAACTCAAGCCTTTAAAATTCAATCCATTTGACAGGCATACACGAATGAGTTAGAGCTTGAAGTTGCACATTTGATGGAAGAGAATGCCAAGCTCAGGCAGCAGCAAGAACAGGTGTGTGTGTGTGTGTGTGTGTGTGTGTGTAGCTAAGCTTAACCCCAAATCCTTTATATTTTTGACACAACCTTTTCATCTGCCTACTACATTTGGAAAGTATTTCTCTACTTCTTTCTGTTGCATAAGCAAAGCAGGCAAGTGTGTGTTTATATATATATATATATATAACTATGGGACTTCACACTTTTTACCAAAGTAAGAGTCTTGTATGTGATAAAGAAAAGAGGGGACCAACGTTTTGGTTGGTTTTTTTTGAGGAAACATATTATCTATGTATGTTTTCTGTCAGTCCTTGGGCATTTTGTGGCAACATTGATGAGTGATGACATTGCTTCCCATATTATCTCATTTTTCATTCATATTTTTTCTTATTTTGTGATGAAATTCGACAGTTGTGTAGAGATGCAGCTGCTCAGAATCATCAGAAAAGGAAGAAGAAGAAGCCCCTTCATCGGACTCTAACAGCCCCATTCTGACCTTTTCAATGCAGTGAAACTATTGTCATTATCATATCTTTACCTTATCTTTTTTCCAAGTTTGGGGAGTAAATTAAATATGGAACTTTGTGTGTGGAGCTTGGAACTTGCAACTTGTTGTTCTAGTAGTTTTTGAGGGGCCCCTTTGTTATTATTATTTTTTTTTTTTTT